TTTGCTGCCATTGGGGGAAGCTTTTGCAAGTGAGTTTGCATGGAGGCGTCGCGTGTCAGTTTGCGCCGCTATTCCATTGTGATTTGCACGACAAGGACATGTCGCGCAAGAAACGTGATGCATTTCGCTGCGCAGGCGCAGCGTTTTGCGAGATCTTGCGGCTGCGCGCTTGGTGCGCGTTTGTTGCTGCAATGCTTGTGGTGAACATCCGCCGCAAGTTGGGTCGGAGTGAGAAACTTCCAACAAAGACCAACAGAAACCGACGGAACGCACCCATTGCAGTCCCGGCGCTACTTCAAAGAGGCGCTCCGCACTTGCGGCAAGGCATTCTAAGTGACTTCGCGCTCAATTCTCAACAAATGCTTGGGTGTGGGCTTGGCTACTGGAAAGGTGAATTGCATTTCCGGAAAATTTGTGGCTTTCATTTTGGAGTCCAATTTCAGCAAAACCGTCTCGCCACGGAGCGCCTCCAGTTCAAGAACATGTGCGGACATGTGTTTCCAAAAACAAGACAGTACTGCCCTGCGCACTGCTTACTCTGCGCACTGCTTACTCTGAGGGTTTGCAACAATTCACTGCTCCAGATAGGTTTCACCTCCGTCTCACTTCGTCTCACCCGCGTGACTCACCTGAATCTCGCCTGCGGTTTTGTTCTTTGTTTCGGGGTGGTTGTTTTTGTTTTCGGTGGTTGGTTTTTTGTTTGGTTTTTGGTTTGCTTGTTTTTGCCCCTTTCTGGCCGGAGAGTAGCGCAAGCTGACCTGTGCATTCTCTGCGCACATGCTCCATCCGCGCAAAAAAAAACATGTGCGGACATGTGTTTGCCGGGCGTGGAGAACAATTGCTCTTGCTGCAAAGCCATTGAACACCCGACGCCATGCAAAACCTCTGTCGCGAATGGAAACTTGCACTGTTTTTCGCCCAACCCCAGAAAGCGGCCCCGACACAAGCAAATCAAATTGAAACTGAGTGAATGGACTCCATTTTGGGGTCCAGAAACAAAACGGCGGAATTTTTTGTCACCGAGCGAAAAAAGCAAGCAAGTTTATATAGATTGTTTCTGCAGGGTTTCCCACACCGCTGGGCTTCTATGGTTTTGCAGCACCGCGAGCACTTGTTCTGCCCTGCGAACATTTATGTTCACACATGTTCTTGAAACTGTGGCGAGACCGGTTTTTGCTGTGGTTTTTGGACCGCAAACTGGTGTCCAGAAAAACATTTTTTTTCCATCCCGTGAAGGAGCAAGAAGTTTGGAAAACCAGTGAGATAACAATCAAGCTCACGCTGTTTTTTTCCAGCTTGGTGCGTGTTTGTTTGCAACAATGCTTGTGGTTCTAGCGCCCTGAGGCCAAACGTTGTGAACCGAGTCTTCGCAGTTTTGGATGAGAGGGAAGAAGGGTGGGGAGATGTTAGGCGAAAATTTGGGCGCCGTGGAGCCTGTCATTCAGTATGGCAAGGAAACCTTGTTTCGTTTTGTTTGACGTTGTTTGAAGCATGTTGTGAAGGATAGGGTTTTGAAAAGATATTGTTGAGGTTCTGCGCTCACGTCCTTGAGCTTTTTGTTGCAAGCTACGCCAGGCTGCCGCCTGAGTCCCGGTTCCATCTTAAGCATCAACATTTAAATTTTCCCTTGCGACGCACTATATGAGGTTCTTGCAGCCACAATCAAGCTCTGGGCTGGGTCGGACCATCCATTACAGTGCGCGGTACCGCCTCGGTACCACTTCAGTGCGGCCCAGGCCCTTTATTACAATGCGTGGCGCCGCCTCGGTACCGCTCGGGCCCTCCATTACAGTGTGCGGCGCCGCCTCAGTACCACTTCAGTGCGGCTCGGGCCCTTTATCACAATGTGCGGCGCCGCTCGGGCCCTCTTTCACAATGCGCGGTGCCGCCTCGGTACCGCTTGGGCCCTCTACTACAATGCGCGGTACCGCCTCGGTACCGCTTCGGTACCGCTCGGGCCCTCCATTACAATGCGCGGTACCGACACCCCGTTTGCATTTTACAAAGTTTTATTTGGGTCCGAGTGAGGAACTTCCAAGAAAACACAAAGACCAACAGAACCCACGAGGCGCAACCTTAACATTGTAGTCCCGGCGCTTCTTCAAACGGGGCGCTCCGCACTTGCGGCAAGGCATTCCAAGTTTCTGCGCGCTCAACCATTCTTAGCAAATGCTTGGGGGTGGGCTTGGCCATTGATGCGTCCAAAGATAAATTGCACTTTCCGGTGAACTTGTGGCCTTCATTTTGGAGTCCAAAAATTGTAGCAAAGCCGGTCTCGCCACGGAGGGCCTCCCCAGTGGAACTGAAGTTCGCCCCCTCCGAGATGGTGGCCACTGGAAACAACTTAGATTCGTGGTCTTGTCAGGGTTTTTTTATTCCTGTTTTTTTGTGCCCGTATGACTTGCGTGGCAGGCGCAGAACTTGGTGCTGCCAGCGCAACAGTCTGTTAAAGCAATCCTATTTGGCAACTTTGCGCGTTTTGGCACAAGGGCAATGCGCATGCGCGCTCCACCCACGCAAAAAGCGCGCCGCACCCGAGAATTTGCGTTTTGTGGGCGTTTTGCAGTCGCAGGGCGTTGCCAGAAGGAAAGTGATGGGGACTTGTGAGCAGCAACCTGGATGTTTCATGTCAGCAAACAGAGTTGTTCGCAAACGTGTTTTATGGAGGGGTTGTGGTCATTGTGAGTTCATCTTGGTGCCTCAAGCATGTTGATTCGACATTGATTACTTTCTATTGAATGCGAAGCAGAACAATGCTATGGAGATTCAGAAATCGCCTTGATCATGAGTTCCTTTGTCTCCTGAAAAAAAATCAGGGTCCCTGGAATTTTTGCCATTTGGCTCCATCGCCATGTACATTTATCCTTTGGAGATTCACCGTTCTGCCCTTCAAAGGACTCGTGTGTTCGAAAGAACCTCAGGCCAAGCATTTTACGAAGGTTTACCATCAATGTTCTCCATTTTTTGCAGGACCCTTTAGTCTATAGAGCTAAGACTTTGCTTGACTATCAACTTTGATTTCTTGAGGTCACTTTTTGAAGGATGCCAGGCCCCTTAGGTACTCACTTAATTCCAACTCTGATGCAAAAAATAGAAAGCAATCACAAAAACAAGGAAAGGAAATTGCCAGCCAAGAGAACAGTGCAGCCATGGTGGAATGGATGTTTCCAGTGATGTGGATGCTGCCAGAGGAATGGACCGCTGGCTCTGATTCCCATCAGCAATGATCATGAGCCACGCCAAAAGAAAAAACTGTTCCAATATGTTGATATGAATGAAGCCTGCTTGCAGTAGGATGCGTTTTCTGATTGAGGATCCTTACGTAGACGAAGAACAAGTTGTAGAAGATATATATTCTGAAGTGTGGGGCTGCCGTTCATCAGAAGGCGGGGCAGCATTTGCGTTGGAACAGGGCAGTTGATCGTACCCTTGCTTTCACAAAATACAGGCGGCTGAGCACCGCGATGCTGTTTGGGGACTGTGGAAGGCCTGCATGCCGAGTGTGGGACGGTCACGGCGGGTGGTGATAGGTATAGTGGTGGGTGGTGTGAAAAATGGAGAAAGTGATCGAAATGATGAGACGTTCGGAATTTTTATTGGGGTTAGAGGGCATTGGCGCCAGTACTGAATCCCATGCGCCTTCATGAGTGTGCATATTTTTTGCAACCTCGTGGAGTCAACGTTGTGTTCTCTTCGGTGACACTCATTTCAGATGCAATATGATGCAATCAAAAAACATATCCACATGTATCCACTATATCACAGAGCTTTCAGATTTTTCAGTCCTGGGCTTTGAGTCGTAGGTGAGCGCGGGCGCAGAACCCAAGACATTGCGTTCCACTTCAGTTTTGGAGCATCCGTACTGTGCAGCACCAGGGTTTGGAAGAGTCCTTGGCGTGCTGCTGGTTTCCAAGATATGATGAGTAGCAACAGGGCTGCAGCTTGAGATGCTTTGAGTGGAGGATGTTTGAAAACTATTTATATAGAGGCACTTGCATTGATACATCACTAGACTATAGAGGTGATTTGTTGTTTGGCACTTGGTTCAAAAACGTTTGACGGCTGACGTGTGTTCGTATTTATACAGCTAAACACTTGTGGCCAAGTGTCCAAAGCTAGCTGGCACTAGCTCCGTGTTGGCTGCAAGGTGCTGGAGAATCCCAGTGCAACCGTCTCGCGACGCGACGCTCTGCTTGTTTGTGACCAAAGAAACAACGGTCTCGCAACGTAAACAAGTACTGTAAGCAGATTTTCACTTTGACACATTTTGTATCAGTCTGCCCCCTGGGGTCTGCCTCGGAACCCTTAGATACTGATGAGAGGTTTCACTACTGAAGGAGGGTTGTAGAAACGCATGTGTGACAGAGGTTTGGCGGATTGTCCCCAAACGTTTAGAACAACTTGGATCCGTGGTCGTTTTGCTCCTGAGCCAGGTGACACACGACCAGCCTGATCTCTTGACCTGCTTCGACGTCGCATCGCCACATGGCCGGGTGCTTGAGTCCCGTGGCTGCAGATTCACTGGGCCGACATGGGAGAGACTGCAAAGCTGAACTCAGAGGTGCTTTGGTGTTGTGTTGCAGCGTCGTCGCACCTGTAAGGATTGTGGATAGGGCTGGGTTGGCTGCTAGAGCCTCTTCAGGATCTAAATCCACAGGGGTCCCCTGAACTGCCAGTAGAGTTCTTTTGAACGATGCCCATTCCCAAATTGTTGCTCAATCAAGAGGCAACTGACTGTACTAGAAGTACCACATATGACAGAGTTTACAGGAAGTTCATTCAATCCATGACACAAGATGGCATGTGGGATGTAGGAGCACTTTCACCGCCCATACGAGGCCCAAGTTTCGTTCGGTCCGCAGGTGGTAAAACGGCGAATGCCTTGTTTCATGGTAGCGGAGCTCTGCTGGTAGGCCCAGCAACTCCAGGGTACCCTAAACCACCGGGGTTAGAGCGGCTCACCGAAATCCCGGGTGAGTGTCAGAAGCCGGGTCTCGCACATGGCCGGCAATGAAGAGCACGAGGGCACTGGTGGGGCGACCGCTGGAGCTGCTAGCTCCATAAGTGGGGTCCAAGGGCTGGTTCAGGCCCTTCACGGACTCATCGAGGTCCAGAGGAGCTCAGGGTTTACTAAGCACCTGAAGCCACCGACTAACTTCGCCCCTGAGAATAGAAGTGAGGAGTTGAATAGATGGATGGATTGGCGGTTTCAGTTCGAGACATTCGTTGGAGCAGTAGATCCCCAGATGCTGGCCCATATGAAGTCAGCAGAGAAAGAGGAAAATGCCATCAACGATGCACTGCCGACCATCCGTCCACAGTCCGAGCGCCTGTACTCATTGCTGACAGGTTTGATGAAGCAACGACCACTACGCTTGGTGAGAGGAGTGGCCAACCAAAATGGGCTTGAGGCTTGGCGTACACTCACGAGGGACTTGCAGCCGAAGACGAGACAGAGGTCATTGGCTTTGATCCAGTCCCTCAACAAGATTCAGTTTGACATGAACAAGACCGTGACCGAGCAGTTGCCCCAGTTCGACCTGATGGTGAGAGAGTATGAACGAAGTGCCAATGCGACCTACCCGGATGACTTGAAAATCGCTTCGGTGATTGCTGCATTGCCCTCCACCTTGAGGCTCCACATCCAGATGACCTTGCAGGATGACACCACGTTCGAGGACCTTCGACAAAAGATCGAAATGTATGAGCAGGTCAGCCAGAGGTGGATGAGTGATGGGGGCCTACAGATGAATGTCAAGCCGCTGATGGACGTTGAGGATCGTGGAGGTCCAATGGAGGTGGATGCAATCTGGTCCAAGGGCGGCAAGAAAGGTGGAAAGAAGGGCAAGAAAGGAAAGGACAAAGGGAAGAGTCAGAAAGGCAAGAACTCCTGGTCCAAGGACGGAGGCAAAAAGAGTGGCAAGGGCATGAAGAGCTCTGGCAAGCAGGATGGAAAGAAGGGCAAAGGAGGAGTTGGGACCTGCCACAATTGTGGCAAGCCTGGGCATTTTGCCCGGGAATGTTGGGCTCCCAAGAAGATCAACAAGGTTGAGGAGCACGATGGCCAGGAGTTGAACAAGAGTCAACATACGACTCAGGCAGGACGAGATCAGAGTCAGGCGACTGGAGCGTCAACTGGTCAAACCTCCCACTCTACATACAGGGCTGGAGTCAGGAGAGTGCGACTGGTCACGCCTACAGGTCTGGCGACTATGGAGATCTTCGACTTGACGCAAGATGACTCAGCGGAAGAGTTGGAGACAGAGAATGATGATGAGAACCTGGCAATGGCCATTTTGGCCGTGCGAGAAGTGGAGAATGAGAATGAGGAAGAGACCTTCTATGAATGCCAGAGCGAGGTTGAGTTTGAGCCACCTGGAACTTCGAGCTTGGAAAGTACAGGAGATCATGACCTACGACATGACCCACGAGCCCAATACAGTGATGAAGAAGCAATGAAGGTTCGAGTTTGCATGGTCAGGCAAGAAGCACCAACCATTGCCTTGACCTTGGACTCTGGTGCAGATGTATCAGTAGCACCGGAAGAGTACTATGCCATGGGTATGCCGGGCACCTCACGATCGGTGTCAATGATGGATGCTCAAGGTGGTGCAATCAAGAGTTCAGGAAATCGCAGGCTGCGACTACAGGCCTACACCCGTGATGGAGAGCTCATTGAGTTTGTTGAACAGTTCGCCCTGGGAGTTGGAGTATCACATCCTTTGCTGAGCTTTGGACGGTTGCTCAAACAGGGCTGGGTGTTGTCAAGAGATCAAGATGGTCTTTATGTCGAGCACCCTGAAAGGAAGATGAAGATTCCCGCACGACTGGAGCGCAATTCCTTAGTGATGGATGTCCAGGTCTGTGCGGTTAGAGCAGATGACATGGACGATGAGCCCTTGACAGTGGAGAATGAAGCTTCCAAGAATGACGATGTGCCAAAGGAGAATGCAGTCACTGCGAATGACATGGCCAAACCCGTTGATGAAGAGGCTGAGAATGTCGAGAAGTCAGCAACTGGCTCAATTGAGGGCGCGCATCATCCAGATCAAGCAGGAGGTGAACGAGGAGTGAAACGGGCTGTTGATGCAGAGGATGGAGCACCATTGGCCCTGATGGAGGAGTTGTCAGAGCAAAAGCCGCATGCAGCAGAAGATAGAGCAATAGAGGAAGCACCTACAAAGAAGTCAAAGACAGCGGAGATGGAGGCAGAGGAACTTAGATCACCAGGCTACACCACTGAAGAGTCGGGTGATGTGGTGGTGGAAGCAAGCAGCAGCGAAGATGGTAAGGTGAAGTCGCGAATGGCCAGATGGGCGAACTGGAAGTTGAGATGTGGAGAAGTGAAGAGTGAGCCCATGGAGCTGTCAGATAGTCCTGTCGTGGACGTGGAAGTTGATGAGAATCATGTTTTTCCAGTTCGAGAAGAAGGACAGTCACGGCAGGGATACATATCCAGAGAGCTGGCGCTGCTGGAAAAAGTGCCAGGGTGGCACGCACTACCCAATGGCATCGTGGTCCATTCGAGCCCTCAGGCCACACATTTCCTGGATCCTAGCATGTCCTTTGGTGACGAATGGTGTGCACGCCTGACGCTGCTCAAGAAAAAGGACAATAGCGGACTCTGGGAGCAGATAGAAAGTCTGGCCGTGTATCGAGATACACCATTGCCATTTAGAGCAATCCCAGGAGGACCTCGACCTGCGCTGACCTTTGTGGCCCCAGGCTTGATTCGAGACTACTTTGTTTGGAATTCAGAGGTCCCTGTGAGCCAGTATCCACTACTTCAAGGAGAACCGTCCTCGTGGCCAGATGATGAACGTGATGAAGAAGGTGGTGAGTTCCCTATGCTGGCAGCAGGCAGTGGAGGAAGAGCTGAGATTGCCGAGGACGTTCAATTCGTCGATCCTGACGAGATGAGAGTTCAAATAGATGATGTGTGGTTCGACAAGGAGACAAAGCTGAAGGACCTCCAAGACATCTGCAAACAACTGGGCCTGGCAACTTCAGGGTCGAAGATCAAAGTGCTGAGGAGGCTCCAGAGATACAAGCATCAGGAGGAGGAGAAGTTGGCGTACGAGGTGGCACAAAGGCTCTTCTCTGAAAGTCGACGTGAAGCAGTGCCACTGAAGACACCGAAGTTGCCCAGCAGGCATGAACAAGAGCTTCATCAGCTGACGCACCTACCGTTTCAGTCATGGTGCCAGCAATGTGTAGCCACCAGGTCGAAAGAAGACCCAAGGACGAAAGACAGCCAAGGTGAACGTAAGGACAGAGGAAGGCCAGTGATCAGTTTCGACTATGGCTTCACGTTCACCTCTGGAGCCCCTGAAGATCAACAGTGGGGAACTGCATTGTATGTGGCCGAGTCAGAATCGAAGGCCACACTTTGCATCCCGGTGCAAGCGAAAGGCAGTGCATCCCTCAAGCAAGTCACGGAAGAGCTCACCAGATTCAGCATGCAGGTATGCAATACGCAGCCCATCATCTTCCAGTCCGATGGTGAGCGAGCAACCCGGCAGATCTTGAGAGCAATTCAGCATGCTCGAGCCACTCTTGGCTTGACCGCGGAGATCCGGACAACATCGAGGGATCAGCATGCATCAAACGGGCAGGCTGAGCGAACTGTCCAGTCGGTCCGCAAATTGGCCAACACCCTCAGGCAGTTCGCAGAGGAGAAAGCTGGAGTGAAGTTGACTGGTGACATGCATTGCTACCCCTGGAGCTTCCGACACGCAGCATGGCTACTGTTGAGGTACCGGGTCATCAACGGGTCCACATCCTTCGAATTCCTCACCGACAGACGCTATGTGGGGAAAGTGGCACTATGGGGAGAAACCGTACTGTTCAAAGATGTGGCCTCATTCAAGCGCAAAGGAGACCCTGTGTACCGGAAGGGTGTTTGGGTCGGCAAGAGCTCCTGGAGTGACAGCCACATTTGCCTGACTAGATCAGGAGCCGTCGAAGCGAGATCCATCAGGAGGTTGCCGGAGCAGTTTGATGGCCATATGTTGGTCCACTGTCGAGGTCTACCCTGGCAATACTCAGTGCAGGGCATTCTGATGAAGACCAAGTTTGCTGCAAGGCAACGAGTGGCTGACATGGCGGAGGAAGCAACTGGAGATGAGCAGGTTGAGAAAGAGGCCAAGACAGTTGGTGAGCAAGTGGCTGTTGGTATGTACGGTCATGCTCTTGGACCGACCACTCCAGGATTTCAGGCAGAAGGACAAGCCAGAACACCCGCACCTCCAACACCAGGCAAGAAGCCAGGAGGGACCAAACCACCAGGTACAAAGACCCCAGTGATTGTACCTGTACCAGCCACACCAGCATCAGCAGCACCACCTCCAGCAACGGCAGTGGCAGCCAGGAGCAGTGAATCAGATTCAAGATCATTGGATCCGAGAAGTCTCCATCGTCTACCGCTGGGTGAGACTGAAGAGAGCCCCAAGCGGAAGATCGTCCGACTGCCGATTCCTGAGGCAATGAAGGGTGAACCAGCTGGAAACTTTCCACCAGGTGCACACGAGCTCAGTCCGAAGAGACAGCGGATTGAAGATGTGGTTGGCAATCTTGCACCTGTTACACCACCCCTGCTCGGAAAGAGAGAATATGCACTCCCTTGGGACGATGAAGATGATGAGAAGAGACGCATGAGCCCCAAGCGTCGAGTAAGGAGCATCCAAGAAGAATTCCCAGGTGGTGATGACATGGTCGCTGAAGAAGCCCTGCAACAGCAACTCAATGCAGTCAGCGACGAGGAGGAGGAGATTGATGCTGTGAAGGGCAAGCCACCTGTGGTCAGTGATGATGAATTGGCCAGACTGGATGCAGAGGCATGCAAGCATGAAGAAGCACGCCTTGAAGCGATGGGAGTGCTCGAGAGGATGAAAGATGGTGAAGAGGCCGAAGAAGGATCATATGTGTTGACATCTAAAATGGTCATCACATGGAAACATCGAGATGAGCAGGGTGGATGGTTCAGACGGGCAAGGCTGGTGGGCAGGCAGTTCAAGTGGTCTGTCTTTACTGAAGATGCCTTTGCTCCAACGTCGGCATCAGTGGTGGTCAGAATGCTGTTGCAACTTCAGATGAGAACAGGTCTGGCGCTGTACACCTTAGATGTGAAAGATGCTTTCCTATTGATGGACCAGCCAGAGGATGAGCGGGCAATGATCGTGACAGAGAATGCCCAGTACAAGTTGAAGAAGAACCTTCCAGGCCAGCGGAACGCAGCAGCACAGTGGTTCAAGGGTTTCTGCAAAGTCGCCAAAGAATATGGTCTGATGCAGGATGTGATGCAACCCACGATGATGAAGATGGCCCAGCAAAGCGATGATTCAGAAGATGGTCGCTTGTACCTCACCATCCACGTGGATGATCTGCTGCTGATAGGAGATGAGAAGGCAGCAGAGAGCTTCATCAAGTTCATGGAGGACAAGGGCTGGAAGATAGAGAAACGTGGGCCACTTCGATCAGGAGAGTTTAGTTACTTGAAGAAACAGATGGAGATCATCGAGAATGGCATCACAATTCGCCCCGACAAGCAGCGCATTAAGGATCTGGCCAAGTTGACGAAGGTTGATCAAAAGAAGATCAGGTCCACTCCAGGTGATGGGAACTTCAACAAACTTAGCAAGGAGGATGAGCCCATGAATGTGGATGACATCACCAAGTACAGGAGTGCAGTTGGCAAGCTACTGTACGTTGCACCTGATCGGCCAGACATCCAGTACGTAGCTCAAGGCTTGGCAAGCTTGATGTCATGCCCAACTAAGAAGGCTTGGAGGGCAATGCAACATGTCAGCTCCTACCTGCTCGGCACCGTGAATGAAGGCATTTTGTTTGAGCATGGAGCCAAAGGTCGGTGCATGTTGAACACGGATGACAACATCTACGAATGGAACATCGACCAGGAGAGCAGGAGCATGCTGGAAGTCATTTGTGATGCAGACTACGCTGGTCAGCGAGACAGTCGCAAGTCCGTGAGCTCGGTGCAGATCTACCCCAACGGCTGTTTGATTGAAAGCTACGTCAGGAGCCAGCGCTCAATCGCTCTGTCGAGTGGAGAAAGTGAGTACGTTGCTATGGTTGGAGGATGCAGCGAAGGCATTTTCATTCGGCACTGCTGGCAGTTCCTGACAGGTGAAGAAGCCGAGATGGTCTGCAGATCGGATTCCTCAGCAGCAAGAGCTCTGGCAGGACGCATTGGAGTTGGACGGACGAGGCACATCGCTGCAGGACTGTTGTGGTTGCAACAACGAGTCAACTCCAAGGAAGTGCGCATCACGGGGATTCCAACAGCAGTGAACCCAAGTGACATTGGGACCAAGATCCTCAGCAAAGCAAGGATGAACGGCCTCAAATACCTGATCAGGATGGTCGACGGTGACGATGAGAAGATCGGGAAGTCCGAGTACGACGAGATCAAATTGAAGGAAGAGCTCAAGAAGAACACCGCCAAGATGGCAAAGGCCATGGGAGCGAATGCAAAGGTAGCATTGGTGATCGCCTTGTCATTACTACAAGGCGGGAAAGGCGCTGAAGTTCAAGAGTCAGAAAATGAAGACCAAGATGATGAATCCTGGTGGATGCGGCCATTGATCACCATGCTTTGCCTGGCAATGATTGGGGCCTTGAGTCTGGCACGGCTAGTGATAGATGGAGCAAGGGCGTGGTGGAATGGAAGACGCATCAACGAGGAGACCATCGAGGAGAAGCAAGATGAAAGTGATCGTGGACAAGCGGTGACACCGCATGTGAGAAATGAAGATGAGAGTGGAACACTTCAGCCTGAAGAACCATGGCAGGCAGAAGATCAAGAGAAAGTGAACATGCAATGGCAGATTATTCAGCTGGAAGTGGCAGTGGCTGAACAAGAAGAGAAAATGACGGAGATCCGAAGAGATAGAGACATCCAGTCCCGAGAGGTCGTCAGGATGTATGACATGTGCACCAACCTCCGCTTTGAGCTGGAAAAGGTCAAGGAAGAAAGAGACAACATGATGATGAAGCTGACCGGGTCAAAGGACACTGATGATGAGCATGCAGTCGAAATGGCACGCGTGGCCGAGGATTGTGCCCGGGCCTGGGAAGCTGTTGAACTATGGAAGAAGAGATCAAAAGAGATCCTGACCCAAGCGAATGAAGTGGTGAAGGAGAAGCTGGAGTCGACAAGATTCACGCTTGAGAGAAAGGAATGGTGGATGACACGTACAGGTGGTTGCTACCACACTCACGACTGTAGCCACCTGGCTCAGTCATCGAACGTGAGGACTGTCAAGCCATGTGCCCACTGCATCCCACAGGCCATAGGGGGCGTGACAGAGTTTACAGGAAGTTCATTCAATCCATGACACAAGATGGCGTGTGGGATGTAGGAGCACTTTCACCGCCCATACGAGGCCCAAGTTTCGTTCGGTCCGCAGGTGGTAAAACGGCGAATGCCTTGTTTCAACATAAGTATCACAGTATTTTTCGGGATGTGGTCCATCGCACTGAATTCAGGGCCTTGACAGTACAGGGTTTCTTCATTGTTGGTTACAAGTCTGGTTTGCAGCCGGAGCGCCTAAGGATGCAGCGGGTGCCAAACAGCGTCCATTGTGCAAGTCCTGGTCCCTTGTGAAGAAACTGATGCCAATGCAGGCGCAGAAAGAGAACGGTCAAGGCACAGACGTTTGTGCACCGCACTCAACAAGGTCCTGGTCCTTAAAGGTGTTACACACGCTTGCCATGCCTGCGCATCCCTTGCGTGCTCCCTTGAACCTCCAAAGGTTGCGACACAGTGCAGCTGACGTGTGGTGGCCGCTTCTCCAAGCTGCAGCTGCGACACTAAGATGGCTTCATTCTGTTGGACGGTTGAGAGATGTTGAGAGTAAAGCGCCAAAAAGACACCAAAATGAACATTTAGCCTTACTGTACCGGCCATGCGCCGCACGCACCACATGACACGCAATGAAGTGAGTGTGCTTGCATCAATTTTCGGTCACAACTGCAGCAGCCTCTGTTTCTTCCGTCGACTCCATTGGAATGAGTGTTTTCTTGCACGAAGAAAGAGGGCTCAAGGTCACCAGTTTCTGGATTTACTTGAACCCCAGTGCCCGCGTGGCACGGTGCTTTTCACTTGAGCCATAGCTGGATCCCCATCGTGGCATCGACGCCAGCGGCTCCAAAGAAGCAGAGCCAGACAGCTCTTGCGCAGGACCAAGGAAAGGCCTTGGCTCCGACCCTCCTTGCTTTCTAAGGTCCTTACTGCCCAACTGCTTTTGGAAGGGCATCATTCGAGGCCCAGATACAAGATAGCTGGGATCCACGAGATGTCATGGCGACAAGAGAAGTGGACAGCGAAGGATTGGAAGCAATGAACAAGGAAAGGAAAGCCAGAGACTTCAGGATTCGTGATGTATTCCCACGACGGCAAGCGTGTCGAGCTCAAGGGAAATGCCGAGTCTGGAAAGCGATCTGGATCATCTTCTGCCTCACAGTCAGATGGCAGCATCAAAGAGGAGAACCAGAAGCTCAAAGATGCTATCAGACGCATGCTACAAGCAGAGAAGCCAGAGGATGCAGACTTGGATGCAGTTCGAACTTTGATCAAGGTCGATCCACGAGAAGAGATTCGACAGCGACAACGTCAGCTGAACCAAGAGAGACGCATTCTCAACAGGGCCGAGAACCTCAAAGAGACACTACACAAGAAGGAGAACAGCTACCAGTCCTGGAAGCACAACATGCAAGAGGGATTGGCGCAGGAAGACCGCAGGCTCAGCAAGGAGCTTGCAGAGCTCCAGGCGGAGATCAAGGCAGCGGAGGAGAAAGAGCTCAACGATGCCGAGATGGACGGAGAGCCATCGGATGTGGACCCAACCCTGGTCGATGTGACACGCCAGGTGGTTCAGGACGAACTCAAAGAGATGAAAGACCAAATGGGTCAATTCGCTTCATATGCAGCTCAGATGGAACGGCAGAACCAACACCTCACCGAACAGGTGGCTATGTTGTTGAATACGCTGCATGCTCGGAGTGGGGATTTTATTCCCAAGGAATCCCCGCAACATCCACATCCCCGACCAAGTTTTGCAAGATTCGAAGGTGCTGGGGTGGAAGAACACAAAAGAACACAAAAGGGCTATGAATCGATCAAGATCGCCAATGACGAGATCTACACCAGAGGGTGCCAAGAAGTCGAAACTCGATCACCTTCCGGTAGAGGACCCGGTGAACCATGCGGAAGTCAAGCACCTCCTGACGGGTGTGTCAGAAGAAGCTCAGCGCTACTTTTTGCAGAACATGCAGAACGAGCCAGAGAAGTTTCCTACCATGAGGTTCCTTTGAACCCAACCAAAGCACTATGGCCAATGTGGTTAACAGATTCCCTTTGCATGCCCTCAATCAGGCATCCAAATCGCTGAGAGCCGCAGCAGGGACAGGAACATCCATGCCATCGGAGATGAGAGCATCTGCAGTGTCTCCCGTCCCAGGAGGCCTGCCAGCAGGTAGACGACCAGACGCTCCAAAAGGCACCAAAGCCAAGGAGCGCTTTCCTTCCTCCGTCAATAGAGTCTCCCTGTAGCTTTGCTCTGCACCCTTGATCTGCTGGATGGGATCTCGGACCTTGGTCTATGTTTGCCACCTGCGGCTGGAGGCTGCAACTTGTGTCGACACTTCGAAAGTTTTGTTTCACCACCTTTCTTTGAGACGTCCGGGGTTTGTCTCATGAACGAGTTCTTATTTCCCTCATCACTTTCATTTGGAGGGGATAGAAAAGGTGAATTTTCACGGGGAGACCTGAAGACTGAACGGTTTCGGAGCAGTAAGCCAATCGTTCTCACGCAATATTGGAGCTTGAGTGGATTGAGTTCTGATCTTTTCCTTGAGATGGCTTGCTGGTCCTCGATGCAGCTTTTCTTTGTCTGTTGGTCTCTATGCATCATTTGTGCCTTTCAGCGTCTTGGTGAAACTGGAAGGCATCTTGGTGAGCGACTATATCGAAAGGACAGGCTTAGTCTCTTGCCACCGAGCGGGATGCTGTGGAGCGTGGTCTCTGCTTTGGGAACTAGTGCAGTGATCTGTTTCCTGCTCCTTGAGAGTGTCCACGAAATTCGAGATGACCCCTTTTGCGGTGTTCATATCCTACGGGGTCTCAATATATGTCAGAATTGTGGGATCCTTTTCTGCCTTGCTGGGATATTTCTGCGATATCGATTTGAAGAATGTCTCGGTTTGCCTGGCAAGTGCAGAACGGTAAGGAAGATCACACGCAGAGCTGCCTCTATGCGGAAGTCTGGCTACAGAAAGACTGGGCTCTTCCTTCTTTTTCTTGTTTGTCAGTCACATGTTGTGGATGGTTATTCAGAATGGAGAGCTAGCCACTTTGCATTCCCAGAGACAACGACTACCTACCAGAGTGACTGTTGTCCGGAAGGATCATGGACCTCCTCTTTGTCTTGTGTGGGGGGTTCTTTGATGCACCCTGCCGTGATGAATCGGCAGCAGAAGACTTCGCCCTTCTCCGAGGCGATGCTCCGGAAGGACCTTTACTCCGTAGAGCTGAATTGGAGAGCTCACATTTTGATGTTTCTGGCTGCACAAGTCTGGTGGAAGCATGCAGTGAGGACTATCGCAATGAGGATTTTGTTAGCCTGATGCAAGTTGGACCGCCAACAGAGGACTTGGTCTCTCTATACATCCGTGAGACTATGCAAGCTGGAACTCCGGTTGTGGTGAGATCATGGTATCACCCTTGGGACCAGCTTGGACGGCTGCAGTCGAATATCCGTGATGTGCATTTTGATTTCCAACTGCCGGGTGCTGCCGTTGTGCGCAGTCCTTGGGGAAGGATACTTGGCAGGAGGAGTTGCGTGGTGACACCTGTCAGATCGCCACCGTATGATTTTGGGCTCATTATGCCACATTTTCTGGTGATTGCGCCTGGTGATCCAAGGTATGTTCCGGCCTTAGTTGAATATCAAGATGCGCAACAAACTCGAAGAGGCAGTTTTATCTTCCAAACTACAGTATTCCCACCTCTGTCGTGGTTCTTCCAGCGAATTGAGCCCTTCAACCAGTGTGTATGGGCCGCGGAGTGCACAATTGCCGTAGGCAATCATGCTGCTGCCAGGCTTTACACATGGGGCGAACACGTTCCACTGTATGAAGGGATCTTTCTGGTTCTGCGTGAAAGACAGCTTCTTCGAGCTGGGGGTGAAGATGATGATGATGATGATGATGGTGGCGGTTCTTCTTTTGGGACTTCTACATCATGTGGAACAGGTGAGAATGATGATGCTTCAGATTTTTCTGGTATATCCTGTGGCAGTTGCGAGGACCCAGAGATGGAACAGGAGGATGTTAGTGGCTTGATGCACCTGTTTACGCAAGCAGAGATTGCCATTACTGAGGTTGTTCATGAACTTCATTTCCCACAATCACAGTCCCACTTTGGCATTGTGCATGCTGGTCAATTTGACTCTGCGGGGCCAGATGTGGTCCGGCTCTTTGCAAGTGACAGACTTGGACTGCCACGTAACCTTGTGACAACTGTGTACGTGTGGGGGGTGGCAAGGCCCCATTTTCCAGTCGCCTATTTTGCCAGAAGATGTGCTTGGGTTCCTGACAAGTCATTTACGAAGGTCTTGATTGGCGAACTGGAGGATGTTGCTGGCTTCGATGTATGGGGGTTCACAATCCCATTTCCGGTGATTGAGCCACTCTCTTTGCGCGCCTATTCGATTGATCTGATTGGAATGCCCACGTCGCAGCTGGATATAGGTGAAAAAGCCTTTATCCTGGATGTGATTGGATTGCCGTTACCGAAAAGAGTTGCAGTGCATGTGGAGCGAGAGGGCACCCTTCATTCTATCATCCAAAAATTGGGCATTACGTCGACCTGTCAGACAAGAGGTACTCTGTGCTATCTGGAAGTGTCGAATGATGGAGAAGTGAGATACTGGCTGACTGACCAAGTCGTTGACGAACTCCATGGAACGAGTATGCTGCTTCGCATCTCTGCGGTCCAAGCTTGCAGAAATGGTGAGCTGGATAGGGGACTAGGACCCCTACCAGGAGATGAGATGACCTTGTTCCAGCCGGCCATCCATCAGAGGTCGATGCGGCTTCCAACCACATCTGAAGTCAATGATGATGGGGACCAATTTGAGATGGTGATACAGCAAAATCTTCGATGGCATGAGTTGAGACGCAGGGTTGCAAGATTGACACGATTCCTACAGTTTGACCACTTGCGAGATGAGGCACTGGCCTTCCGAGCTGCTAGAGGCAGATGGCCAGACATTGTTCTTTGTGGTGTTATTGCTGATGAGATCTCTTTTTGGAACCTTGAGACTGATGGTCTGCTCGAGCTGGCATCTTTTGACAAAGAAGAGGTGCAAACATTACTGCGGGATTTTGTTGAACCACCGGTCTCACAAGAAGCAAGAGTGATACTGGCGGCTGTAAAGCCGCTACCCACTGTACACGAACAGAATGGCCATGATGACCTCTACGTCATAGTTGGAGAAGACCTTCGAACTGATGAGGTTCTGGCTTTGGTAGCGGTCTGGGATTCCCGAGCTGATTTGGAAGTCGACCTTCATCCTGTTGAGCTTCCCCCTCGAATGACGACTGAGGCACTCCTGCAGTCCTTTGGATTGGAAAGCCGATGTTCCCTCCCCTTTTTGGACTGTGTTGTCTCACATTCAGGCATTGAGATGCCAAGGATCTTCTCTTGCACACCCTTCCAAGGTATGAAGATTGTCATTGAGATCAATGTGAGGGCATGTCCGCTGCCTGAGGTGACTTTTCGCACTCTCATACGACCGCCGCCAACGACTGATGATGAAGAATCCACCCTGATGCAGCTGCACGATTGAGTATGGGAGTATGCGCGGGGCTGGACCCGGGACCGTCTGGAGATTACCCTATGGTCGTTCCTACAAGGAGAGCGGAAACAGCCCTTTCCCTCCATTGCTGTATTTGATGTTCAGAGAGGTCTTTTTGTTGATGGTGAGCCTGAACATGGGACTTCCCTGAACTATATTATCATTGACCCACCGCCGATCTTTATTGCCCTGCCGAGACCGCATATTCTCACTGTGCAAACGCGCGCTCAAGAAGATTTTGCTGTCTTGTGCCGTGTGCAGGGAGATCGAAGAAATCTGCTTGCAATGCTTGTTGATACCTCGCATCCCCCAGTAGGGGTTGACGTGCTTTTTCGACTTAGCAGTGCCAGATCATGGATGCAGAGAATCTGACCTCTGTTATGCTATCATTCTTGGTGATCGCAAGGCCTTTTACCATGATGTAGAGCTGACTGATGGGATTTTCGCGCAACTTTTCTTGTGGGAGTATGAGAGGGAACAGAGCACTTCATGTGGCAGTCCGTCCCCCCGTACAGAGTGGTCACATCATGATAGCGTTGACGATATGTTTACCTCTCATCCTCTGCATGAAACAAATGATGAGATCCATGATGAATCAAGTATGATGCAGTCTCAGCAGAGACTTGTGCCTGATGACGGCTGCACAGCCCATTCGCAAGAGCGGATGTTGTGATGCTCTGAGATGGGACTGTCCTGGTTGGTTCCTGCTAGACTACATCAACAGCAAATGTACAACCTCTGGAAGTACTCTGGACGAGATTCTGTACGAGAATACTTTATTCGACAAAGATATCTTGGGTCTGGTTTGAGTATCAGAGGATGGCTTTTTCATGACCGCCAACAAACTGTTGGACAACCTTTTGCCTGGGGTTTGACTGATAGCACTCCATGGGCGCATCAGACAGGACATCTACTCCGTGGAACGGCCCTTGATGATGTTCTTATGTATGCGGTAGTGCCACAACCAGAGGATTTCCAATTGACCCAGCCTGATCCGGCCAGCGTGCAGATCATTGTCCCATCACTGATTGCGGATCAACCTTTTCAGATCTTGGTGGTGGAACACGATTTTAGTGGCAAACAGTCCAGGCAAGCGCTGCGATTTGCTGTCCCGATCACAGTTCGACAAGTTTTCCAGACTTTTGGCTGTCTGTGTGACGCAGAGACCCGCTGCATGCTGACTTACATGCGTGGACATTGTCAGCAAGTCTTCTCAGACCAAGAAGTTGTTTCTTTGCCTTTTGCTTCATTTGTGAAGATCATGGCGCATTGGATACCTTCCTTTCCTTGTGTACCTTTTCGACCTTTGACGATGAGTGATGTCGTTGCCAGACAGGTGGCAGCGTCTGTCACTGTGCACCTGACCTTCTCGTTTGATCGGGCGGTCCGACAGGCAAGTGAGGTGTTGGCCCATGAAGGGGGAGATGATGACCAGGATGATTTTTCCACGCTCATGCAAAGGCCGACAGTTGAGAGCCACAGGATTCCGAGGGAGGACCAACATGACGCTTCGTCGACATCTAGAGAGACTGTCGGCACCTTCCATGTATCGAGCGATGCGAATCCTCAGCAGAACAGAGACCGGCCCCAGGTTGGAATTGAATGGATTGTGCACGTGCACCAGGTACGAAACTATCTCTTGGAGTATGCCTTGGCCAGAAGGAGACCTATGAACGTTGATCTGGTGGTTCAT